TAGTGAATAATTGTTATCAGGACTGACTGTGAGGGTTGGAAATGTGAAGGTAGACATTTTATAGCAAAAGGAGGGAAGTGATTGACTTTGTAGTCCAGGAGCGGAGTTCCCTGGGACTATCAAAGGAGAAAAGCGGAGTGCAAGACCGTACCCAGAGAAGCAGTGATACCAGAGGTGGAGGCAGAGACGATAACGTGGAGATATGGAGCGACTGGTGACTTTAGACCCAGAGAGGGAGAGGGGCTGTGTGCTGACAACCAGGGAGCAGGCTTGTAGTGTATACCCTTTGGTTGGTTGATGATGCATGGAGGAGATTGTAACCATGGCAATGAAATGATATACGATAGGATGAATGTAAAGCTAATGTTCTCCCATGTAAACTCTCACGTAATTCACAATAAAAGTTTTTTAAAAATACGTATTTTATTAAGCCCTGCATATGATGCTTCATATCAGTCTACCTCTGTAAACAAATTCATGTGGCAGATAGAATAGTAGTATCCCACCTGACCTTGGCTCAGGTGGAACCCTAAAGGAACTTGTGCAGAAATCGCCTTAATTCAAGGGAAGCAGGAGTGTCCCAAGCTTTGAAGTAGTTGTTGTTGTTGTTAAGTACCATGGAGTCGGTTCCGACTCATAGTGACCCTACAAAGGGTTTCCAAGGCTGTAAATCTTTATGAGAACAGACCGCCTCATCTTTCTCCCACAGAACCACTGGTAGTTTTGAACTGTCAACCTTGAGGTTAGCAGCCCAATTCGTAACCACTACGCTACCAGAGCCCATCTTAATCTCAACCTCTAGTCGTGATCATAATCTTCATCAATATTGTCCATCCAAAAGAAATTTCTTCCAAGTTCCCAAGGTATTGGTGGCCAATAGCTAAAAAGGGTTTGGCAGCATAAGACCTAGAATGAAATTCTGAGGCAAGATTGCCCCACAGTCCTCTATCTTGCTGTCTGTAGAAAATTCAAAGTGCATCTTGGGAACTATTCTGAAAAGGAAGGTGAGGATGGTTGCCCAAGTCAAAAGCTATAATCAATGCCACAGAAGTATGCCTGGAGAAACCACAGAATTGGTGCATGTTTTACTGTGTGTATTCTCAACAACAATATTTTTAGAACTGTATCTTGGATTACGTTTTTTAAATTCTTCATTTCACCTCAATTACTTGGGATATGGAGAAGAACCATTATAAATATTCTTTTAAAGACAGACAGTTTATATGGGAAAGATTACGTGCAGTTAATGGAATTTTAAAAATATAAATAATGGTTCAGGTTCTCCCAGAAGGTAAAGGCAATATGAGAATTTGAAATTTGAAAGTAAGTAGAATTTGGCAGTAAAAGGTTCTTTAAGGAATAGGCAAATTCCCTTAAAGAGATTACATGAACTACTTCTGTATGTTTCAGGAACCCTTAACTTTTTCCCTGTGTGTCTGTACACATACACACATTTATGTGTTTGTGAACAAAGGGTAGTGTATATCTAGTCACTTAAACACCTGGATCATTTTTTATAATTGGATGCAATACACATTTACATACTTACTAAGGCGCTCTGGTAGCGTAGTGGTTACTAATCAGGCTGAGAACCTCAAGGTCAGCAGTTCGAAACTACCAGCTCTTCCGCGGGAGAAAGATGAGGCTTTCTGCTCCCATAAACATTTACAGCCTCAGAAACCCTGTACAGGGTCGCTGTAAGTCGAAACCGACTCCATGGTACTTAACAACAACATCTGCGTTTTACTAAGAAAAACAGAGACCAAAATCATAGAAATTTTTGAAACTTTTTTTTTTTTTAACGGAAATCAAATCAAATGATTTATTTCATCCTAACCCAATCCCATTTTCTGACAACATCATTTTCGTAATTTAGTATAGCTTTTTTCTCACAATTTTTTTTCCTCTCTATGACTTCTTTCTAAGCTAGACATGACTTTGTTGGAAATGTGGCCAAGCACAGCAGTTTATATAAAATCTTCTTTGAACATTATATAACACTTGCAGAATGAAAAGAGTCATTTCAAAAGCAACTACATCTTAACATGCTTATTCATTGCTCCGAATCGTGGAATGTCACATCTTCTGTTTCTACAGGGTCAACCCGGGCCAGTGGGCCCCCAGGGATACAGCGGGCCACCAGGATTACAAGGTTTCCCAGGATTGCCTGGTCGTAAGGGTGACAAAGGAGAAAGAGGAGTTTCCGGGATAACAGGTCCTAAAGGAGACGTGGTATGGATCGTTGTTAATATTCCCTGAGAGTTGGTGATGGGTGGGAGAGAGGATTTCACCTCCATTAAAATGTGTCTGCTTTTTTCATAGGGTGCAAGAGGCGTTTCTGGGTTTCCTGGTGCTGATGGAATTCCCGTAAGTTCTTTTTGGAAGATTAGAATTTTAAAACACAGTTATGACTTAAAGAAACACTGTGTACTAGATCTCCTCTTTTGTTTATAGCACATAACTTCTGCAGCCATATTTGCATATTTTCCTCCTGGAATCCAGTTAAACAGAGGGCTGAACAGTGTTCTTTGGAAACTTTGTCTCAGACTGGAGGCAGCTTTTCTAAAACTAGGAATTGTTTGGTAATCCGAGCTATAGTGTTACTCACATATGCTCAATGAAAAGTCAGTTATGAGATTTCATTTGAACTATCAAACATGATAGTTTGAATATAAAGTAGTCCATCTGGCAAAGAAGCTAGAGGCAGTGAAGCTCTGCTGCCCATTTGTGCCGCCTCTCAAATTCTTTGTAGTAACCACACATAAAATGAGAAAGAGAAAAAGCATGCTTTGTTCATGGGAAAATCTCAAAATGCAATAAAATGTGTTTTTCTAACCTAGTTTACTTTACTTCTTGTGGCATTAAAAAATAAATAAACAAAACAGCCTGACTCACAGCCTCCTTCACAGGGAGCCCTGAGCAGATTTCTCAGGGTCAGTTTCCTGGCCAGTCCCTGACTTCAGGACCTCTGTTTATGACACATTCCGATCCATCTTCCATCCTCCTACTGTGACAGTTGTAAGACATCTGCTTCAGGAACCCCACACATATTCACAGATGTTTACGCTCTTACCGTACACATGTGTGTTCTATTTTACCGTACATATACACACATTCACACGCACAAGGCTAGAGAGGATCTCTTCCTTGTCTCAGCTTCACAGAAGTAGGCCTTCTACTTGGCAGGAGAATGGAAGGAACGGGTGGAACGTGGTCACAGAAAATTCACCCTTTTTCTTTAGATCTACAGCTCCACATTCTAGAAGACTTTTGCAGTAGTATAGGAGATGGTCATAGCCAAAGAATGAAAGACACATTGATCAAAATGGTGATCCTAATTGTCACCTAATGAAGACCTCAAATATACACATCAGTTACTATGCACAATGATGAACAATTGAGAAAATAAAACTTTACAATGGTTATAATCTGGAGAAATTGGCAAGCTTTTCAGTTTGTGATTTTTCCAGTATTTTCCAGAAGAATGTGTAGAATTAAATCATCCAGTATTAGATTCTCTTCCTTTCTTTTTTAAAAGAAACTCTTTGGACTTTTAATCAGTTTTGTCTTTAGAAACTGAAATCTGGATTTAAATGTGGTGAAGTTTTAACTTAATCTGTATCATAGCTGAATTCATTTTTTTTATTTCATAGTCATTTAGCATCAAAAGCCAGTGTTGCAGAAATCAGGAAGGAATTAATTGTTGGATGACAGAATGGTTGCAGTGAGAAAAAACTGATGACTTTCTGAAGAATCTTAGTACCACTCAAGAAGCTTAGAGCTGCTTAATCTCAGAGCTCTGATGACGAACATTAAGTTAACTTAAATGTCACCTTTCATAGCTAATCAGTTAAAATGTAACATTTCAGCTATTTGGAAGTCATATATGAAAAGTGTTGTGCAGTAAATCTTAAGAGCGGTGTTATACAGAAAAATATCTCATTAGATGTAGAGCAATATGAGATGTACTTGCTTAATGTCTCTTCTCAATATGACTGAAAATTTTCTTTAAAGCAACATCTCAAGCTAAAATCAAATTGGCGTAGGACAGAAGGTTTTTGTTGAAGCACCGTTTCGAACTAAGTTCACACTGCCGTGAAATTTCAAGTGATTTTGGTCAATTCTAAGTATGAATCACCAACGGCCAACAGATAACTCCAGGAGAAAAAATTAAGAGCTCCATGGCCCATATGAAACAATAGCATCCAGGAATGCTGAAGAGCTAGAGTAGAATGCTAGAAAGCTTGTTTTCTCAGGTTGAATTTGAAAGTTCAAACTTGGAGAGACCACCTCTGTCTTTGTTTTGAAGGGTATCAGACAGCTACCTGTAAAATGACATCTTAAAACAGACTGTGTTCATTAATTCATACACGCTATCAGGATTTCTCTGACTCACCAGACAAGTTTCCTGGAAAGTCTGTGTGTTCTCTTTTCTGTGTCAACAGCATTGATGTAAGGGCTGAATATTCAAACTAGCGAGATGTTCCAATACAAGAAAAATTCCAGTTCATTGTACTTTTTAATATCACTTTTCATCTAGGGCTTTACTCATATTTGCACATCTCTCCAAATAAATCTTTTTAAAAAAAACCAAAATCTTAAGGATCCCCAAAATTGGTTTATTATCAAGAAAAGCAAAGTTTAAAAGAAGTTGTACAATACTAAAATATGTATCTAAACATCAAGTATGAAAAGAAATAGTAAAATAGACTGTGGTCGCATAGTACCTAAATTATAAATGATCAAACCTCTGTGTCTCCCTGAAAACAGATTCAGTGAATTGAGATATCCACAAATTCAACCTGATCTCCAATAACTCAAAAGACATTTGATCACGTTGTCTCTCCTGTCTCACATTTCTCAAAGTAACTGAATTGCTTTATGCTTGAATCTAATATCTAAAATCTTATGTTCCCAAAGAAAGTAAATGAGAGAAAATCCATTCTTCTAAATCATCACTGAAATTACATTGTAGGTATGAATATTGTACTTATTTGGGATATGAGTCTTTTAAAAACTCACCATCTAGAATTCAGGTGTGTACAGTTGATAAAGACATCCTTATCACCCTTGAGAAGAATCCAATTGCTTCTACGATTATTTAAATACTCTCCAACCTTAGCAAAGTCCGCATAAAACAGAGATTTGCCTTGAAAGTCGGTCCCCTGCTTAGTAATGCATCCTTAGGCCATTATTTTTTTAATCTTTCATTCATCAGTAAATGTATCCATTTTGAGTTATCTTTTCTCTTGGATTCATGCCATGGTTATCTCTTATGAGACTATTTAAAATTGATTTAATATGCAGTCACCTGAAAACGAAAATTAAGTGAGCTGAAATATAAAGTGATTTTTTCTCTTTCCCAGGGACACCCAGGGCAAGGTGGACCCAGAGGAAGACCAGGTTATGACGGCTGCAATGGAACAAAAGGAGATGCAGGTCCACAGGGAACTCCAGGCTCTGTGGGCACTCCGGGCTACCCTGTGAGTATTACCACTGCACATGTGGCTCCTTAGTTCTGTGGTGGTTGGCCCCCGATTCGCAGTGACCCCGTGCACAGCGTAGCAAAATGCTTCCCTGTTCAGCACCATAGTCACAATGGGCGGTGGATCCATCAGGTCGTAGCTTTTCATTGACTGATTTTCAGAAGTAGGTCATCAAACCTCTCTTCCTAATTCATCATAATCTGAAAGCTCTGCTCAAACCTATTCAGCATCATAGTACCATGCAAGCTGCACATGAGGTGCATTGACCAGGAATCGAACCCACATCCTCTGCATGGAAGGCAAGAATTCTACCACTGAGCCCACACTGCCCCACCCAATTAGTTCTAGATCTTGAGGTGATGGGTACTTGTTAGTGGTGCTGTAGAAAGACACCACATCCTGATTTCACTGTTTACCAGGGCTAATGGGACTGGTGGCCCCAGCTTAGCCCAAGAAGAGCTGTCTATCACAAAACTCTTAATGGGTAATTCTTTTTATCTTAAAGAAACTTTGTAAGATGAGTGTGTTGACTCATCTTAGCCTTCTATAACATGAAAGAAAAGGAAAAAAACAAAAGAAAAAACCCTCCCTTCTCATCGGTCAGTGGTGGGGATGGAAACATGTCTCTGCTAACGGATACCTGCAGATCCATATCAAGGCCTGATTTTCCTAGATTCAGATAACTTCGTTTTCTATATTCATTATTTAGATGTTAACTAGAACATAATTCTTTTGTGTTTGTATTATCCACCCATGTTGTGTGTGCTGTTAAATTAATCCCAACTCTTCGTAATCCTATAGAGCAGAGTAGAACTGCCCCATGAGGTTTCTGAGCCTGTAATTGTTACTGAGGAGTCCTGGGGTGGTGCTGTGGATTAAAGTGCTGGACTGCAAGGTTGGTTTGAACCGCAAGGTTGGCAGTTCAAGCTCACCAGCCACTCCTCGGAAACCCTATACAGGGTCGCTATGAGTCAGAACCTACTTGACTGCACTTAACACCACCAACAATAATCTTTACTGAAGCGAATTGCTAGGTCTTTTATTCCATGGAGTGACTGGTGGTCCAGACCCTGATGTTTCAGTTAGCACCTGAGCCCTTAAGCATTACCATCCCAAGGCTCCTCATTCACCCATAAGGTCTCCCCGAGGTCACCTTCTCCTCCCCCGTATTCCTGTGCAGTCAGCAGTGAATGATATTGTAATAGTAAAACTAAGATTTTTAAAGTTTAAACCTTAACAAAATTCTCTATTACTTTCTTCACTAAATTAGAAAAACCCTTGTGACATGATATAATTAGCATATACAAGATAGGAATCGATTTCTTTTTTTTTTTTTTTTTTTTAATCAAAACCCTACATGGAATAATCTTGTGGGTGGCCACATTTATTCTTTAGGTTCTAAGTAAGAAAATCCTGCAATTTTTTTTCCCATAATAAATGTTTACCCTCTCATCCCCAAAATCTTGCAAATGTGTAACTTATGCAAGATTTTCATTTGGTAGGATGTTTTGGTTTTGTAAAAGCTACATGCACATGTTGGAGGAGGAATAGCCATGAGCTTCTAAACCAGGGCTTCACCCTACAGCCAATGGCATTTTCAGCCTATGTGTTGCTCTCCTTTCCTCTTCATGATCTGTTTCTTTTTTATGTTGTCCACTTTTTTCCAATAAAGTGCACAGTTTTCTATTCTAATACCATAATCTTGGAGTCCTGGTGTGGCACTGTAGGACAACAGTGAAACAACAAGGTCGATTTGAACCACAAGGCCAGTGGTTCTAACTCACCAGTTGCTCCTTGGGAAACCTGTACAGGGTCTCTATGAATCAGAACAGACTCAACAGCACTTTACAACAATAACAATCATAATTTAATTCTCCATAAATATGCCTATTGTTGTTGTTGTTGTTGTTAAGTGCCGTCGAGTCAGTTCCGACCCATAGCGACCGTGTACAGGATTTCCGAGGGTGTAAATCTTTACGGGAGTAGAAAGCCTCATCTTTATAATATTCATTTTATATACAGATATAAAAGATATTCTTGTGTATTGATATATGTACACATATAGTATATGGTGGTGGTGGTGGTGGTTATGTGCATGGAGTCGGTTCCGAATCATAGCAACCCTGTACAGGGTTTCCGAGGCTGTAAATCTTTACGGGAGCAGAAAGCCTCAGCTTTCTACTTCCCATAATTCAAATTTTAAAGAACTCAAAATCTCTTCTACAAAAGGTGTTTAATAATCTCTGTGTTCATGTTTGTTCATACAGTCACCTCAAAGAAAACACATAATATTATGAAGGAAAACAACATTAGTAGACTAGAAGATTCATTTGCTGAGGATTCATTTAGGTTCATTAAAATAATTTAAATCCCGTAAACTTTGACTGAAAGATACCATTGTAATTTGAAGTTAAAAGTCTCATCCTTATGAGTGAATATAGTGATTGGTGTTCAGAATAGTCTAAACAAGCCATAAGAACAATTTGACGTTATCTGGTGTGGTGCTGTGGGTTAATGCGCCAGACTGCAAAGCTGTTTGAACTGCAAGTTCAGCAGTTCAAGCTCACCAGTCACTCCTCGGAAACCCTATACAGAGTCACTATGGGTCAGAACCGACTTGGCGGCACTTAACAACAACAACATAATGCTCAGTATTCAATCCTGTAAATTATTATAGCTGCATTAAAGGTTAATGGATTTTTTGTGATTTTTTTTCTCTTTAATGTGTTGCTTATCTAGGGGCCTCAAGGACCCAAAGGACAAAAAGGTGAACCTTATGCATTATCTCAAAAGGACCGTGACAAATACAGGGTAAGTATGCTAGAGGTGTGACATGCAGTGAAGCAGTTCGGTGTACAGTTTTAGATTAGTAAAAATAACTATTAAGCTAACGCTAAGTCATAAGAATGACTGAGTGGAAGACTGCACAGAATGGTGGGCTAACCCAAAACTATGATTTATTTTTAAATAATTTTAATTTCATCTCATCTTCTTACACATCCCTGTGAATAACCTTTCCTAGGTGGATGGAAGCAGAGAAAATCCAATCATTTAATTACTGAATTTAAAGCATAATGACAGAAATGTCATACAAATATATACTGATCACTGACTTACTCTCTCAACTTCCTCACTGATTTCTGCTCGTGATGTCAGTTAATGTAGACATAACCAGATTGAAAGACTTAAAAGAAAACAACGCTGTCAAGTCTGTATTAATAGTTTTTTTAGCTAATAATGGCACTCATTGTTAAGAATATAAATATATTTTTAGCTAACATGGTGACAGATAGGGCATGTGGGAAAAATCTGTTGCCATAGAGACTGTTGTTATTGGTAGGTGCCATCGAGTCGGTAATGACTCATAGCGACCTACGCACAGCAGAACGAAACACTGTCCGGTCCTGGGCCAACTTCACTATCGTTGCCACACTTGAGCCCATTGACGCTGCCACTGGGCCAATCCATTTCACTGAGGGTCTTCATCTTTTTCTCTGACCCTCCACCTTACCAAACATGATATTCTTCTCCAGTGACTGGTCCATTAAAATGGTCTAACTGAATGTTGAGAGATCTAGTATCTTTAAATCCACCTCAGCCACAACTTTGCTTGGTTTGGCTTGCTTCAGTCTATTCACCATTCTGCACTCAATTTCCTCATCTATAAAAATGTGGATGCTAATCGGATAATTTGTCGAATTCCATTCAGCTCTGCAGTTCTGTGGCCTATGTGACTGTGGACTCCATCCTTACACAGAGCTCCCCTGGGGCTGACTGGCCCATACAGGGAAAGTGATGTTCAATACAGGAAGTAGGCTTGTTTCTTGAGAGCATGTTTGCTACACACTAGTTCTGCCGATGTTTATATTTTCATTCATTTAAGATATTTGTCTTCTCTTTATTTAAATGGGGATTCCCGATATTATTTTACTGACCACAGTTTAAGTTTGTAGTACTTCTAAATTAAACATCTTGGCAGGATGTTATCTTGTAATATTATAAATTGACTTGATTCTTCTAAAATATTTTCTGTTTCATATTTCTCACTGGGCATCATTCACTCTTACATTGGTTAGGCTTTAATGCATTTGATGTGCAGGTCACATTTGTACACATGGGAGGAAGTTGAGGAGAGTCTAGAAGTCCAGTGGATTTCATGTAGACTGGTCCTTGTTATACTGAATGTTCTCTAAGTTTCCAATCATTTTCCAGAGTCCCAGCTTTGCTACTCAGTCTCATTTAGACCATAATATAGGTTGGAGTCCTGGTGTGGCACTGTAGGATAGGCATTGGACTGCTGTTTGCAAACCCTGAATCAGTCGCTCCTCGGAAAGCCTATGAAGCGCAGCCAAGAGTCGGAACCGACTCGACACCATTTAACAGCAACCACAAGGGAATGTGAAACATGCTGGTGTCCATTTCCTAGTTATTTTTTTCTAAAAGTAAATTTGAAGATGAATAACATTAAGAAACTGAAATAGAATTTTCTTTTCTTAATGCAAATGTTTTTAAAATTTTACTCCTTATGCATTTGTTTTAAAACCTGACCTGTTATAATCTGCATATTTAAATCATGTGTACCTATAGTGGTGGTGAGCTATTGACTTGGTTCTGCCTCATAGCGATCCTGTATAAGGTTTCTAAGGAGTGGTTGGTGAGTTTGAACTGCCAACCTTGTGGCTCAAGCCTACCTTATGGTCTAGTGCTTATCCTACAACGCCACACCAGGACTCCTGTGTGCATACATACACACTTTAAAAATATTGAGAAACAATAAAGGTATTTATGTTTAGGAAAAGTTAAAAACTTACAAGCATGACAGAAACCTCTCATGTACAGCAAATAACCAGCATGTTGAAATTTTAAGAAAATGAGCAAAGTTAGAGCTGATATGGTTTATGTGCTTATTTTCAATATTGTAGTAAAATGTTGTTAAATCTAAATATTCTTAGAAGTTTTAACTTTAACAATTATTTCTTCCCAACTAGGGTGAACCTGGGGAACCTGGATTGGTTGGTTTTCAGGTACGTTTCAGTTTTATTAGAGAATATTCTAAACAAACCTCAAAAATTACAAGACTCCAAGTATCTGCCTGCCTCTTCTAAAACCATTCTCTTGTTGCATGACTACAGGGGCCTCCTGGTCACCCTGGACACATGGGAGTCATGGGTCCAGTTGGAGCTCCAGGAAGACCAGTAAGTACCTGGGTGCAAGATGTTCGCTGGTAGACCCTTGTTAGATCATCCTTTAGGGATACAGCATCTTCAGCCTTTAGATGGAGGCAAAAGTTTCATGAAGCTCTGATACTTGTGGTCACTATAGAAATTATCAAGGCAAATGCTTCATTCTTTACTTGCATTCTACTGCTACTGAGACTGAGGAATAAGGAGTCAACTTCAATGGGTACCAGATCACTGCCACCCATGTCAGATTTTGACTTGGTGTTGTCTGAGTGTCTTCCAGTCATATACAGTCATTTCCAGCCCCATACCTTTCCACCTGACAGGGACCTGTCATTTCTGGGCAGAGCAGACCCAAATCCAGCATGCTGGTAAGGAGAAAGTAAGGTGTGTCATACCACATGTAGGTGGCAGCCGCTATAGGAAGTAAGATATTGGACATCAACTCCCGAAATGCCCCTCGTGTCCTACCTGAAAGATGGTCTGTATTGCTCTCTCCCCTGCCAACCAAGTGGTAGAGACAAGTGTGACAGGACAGAATACCTGAAGGAAGGAAGAGTGGTTGCAAGGAGAAGAGAAGAAGACCAATATGCTCATGCCTGTCCCAAGACCATACACGTGACCCAAAAGATGAACTGGATCCCACGAGGAGTTTTTTGACTCTCTCATTCCCCAAACTTTCTAGTAGAAAGAATAACACAGGAAGAGATCTGAGTTCAGTAGGAGAAAGACCTCATCACAGAAAACTCTTAGATGCTTGGGATTGACAGATATTGAGAAGCAAGAAAGGCATTTCTGTTTGGGGAAACTGAGCCATACTAGTAGTATGAATGTGGGGGCACTCATACATTTCCTTCAGACTGTAGCAATAAATCAGTTGTTTCATGTTGTTCCCTAATTCTGTGAAAGTCATTTTTGCAGGTAGCTCGCTAGCTATGAAAGATTTCTCCAAATGGATTGAGATAAGGATTATATAGTAGGACATGTTTGCTTCTCTCTCTACTCTCTCTCTTTCTCTCTCTCTCTCTCTCTCACACACACACACACACACACACACACACCACCCACTTTGGCGTTGCTATATTTTAAATACACTGAACTCTACAACAACAGAGCATACAGAGGGTAGCCTTTAACTCATTGAAAGTGATTCATATGGACCATTAAAACAGTCCAGTAATCCCCAACCTGTCCATTTCTTTGCATCTACTTCTAAACACAAAATTTCTCTTGTCATGGGCTCCAAATACTTATATCCTGAGCTCTGTGTTGAACTAAATGCTTTGCAGCTCTGCGCTTTCACCCCTGCAATACTGGCCTCTAAGATTGATTCTGCCAATGAGCTTTTGTTGAACTGCTACTCAAAAGTGCTGCATTGTGTCCTCTGGGATTCTCCCAGGAGAAATAACCTCTGCAATTGCAGGGCCTGGGACCTGTGCAGAGATCCAAACTAACACAAAGAGAACATGAGTGGAGTCACAAACCCAAAGCAGCTGTACGTAGACAGCCAGCAAATTCTGAGAGCTGTGACCCCCAGTCCTTTCCTACCATACAGCTTTGCATCCTTACAGAAACAAATGAATTCTAAACCTCTGTGAGCACTCCGTGATGGTATAAATATACACTAAATGGCTTTCCCAGAGTTTTCTAGCAGATGTTATCTGGGGCCTGGGCTAAAGAAAACAACTGACACATTTCTTTATATTTGTGCAGGGACCACCCGGACGCCCTGGACCAAAAGGGCAACCAGTAAGTTGGTATTGTGGGGATGAGGAAAAGGGACGGGGGAGCTTAGCTATTTGTGTTATATATAAAAGCTATATTCTGTTCTTTTTGTTTACATAGAACGACTTGGTTGACAAATTTGTATTGTTAAATTTATATTTAAGAACCATTTTGTAGATTTTTCCAATTTACTTTTAAACTAAAAATTTCAATCCAATTGAGCATCTAGAGTGCCTGCCACTTAAGTACTCAGTGTGTTGAGTAATTTGTTGCAACCAAATGATTTAAAACGTTTCTGGTGTTGTATAAAAATCAAACTAATGAATTGAATCTAAAATGTAGATCAGAACAGTTTGAGGACCTGTGGCGCTGTGGGTTAATACGCCAGGCTACAAACCCGTTTGAACTGCAAGGTCGGCGGTTCAAGCTCACCAGTCCCTCCTCAGAAACGCTATATAGGGTTGCTATGGGTTGGAAACGACTCCACAGCACTGAACAACAACAACAATATTTGTCACCAGTAGCTCTTCAGGAAAATGAGACCTGATGATGTGCTTCTATAGAGATGTGGTGGTGTTAAATGCTAGGAAATCCTATTAGTCAGTTTGACTCTGGACTCCTGGTGTGGCATTGTGGAGCATCACTGGACTGCGAACCACAAGGTCGGCAGTTCAAACTTACCAGCTGCTCATCAGAAACTCTCTACAGGGACGCTCTAAGCCAGAACTAAGTCAATGGCACTTACAGCATCTCTGCCCTTTACAGTGGCTGACAGTCAGAATTATCCCAACAGTATTTGTCCACATGTGTAAAATTGTAAGAATGGAAAAATTACAGCTACATATGTTGTAAGGAGGCCAATGAACTTCTTCTTCCCTGGATAGAATTAGGTTATACAAGAATGTAGAGCTTTCAAGAGCAAAGATGTCAGCTTGAGTACTAAGGTGCGCCTGACCCAAGCCATGGTATTTTCAATAACCTCATATGCATGTGAAAGTTCAACAGTGAATAAGGAAGACCGTAGAAGAATTGATGCCTTTGAGTTAGGGTATTGGAGGAGAATATTGAAAGTGCCATGGACTGCCAGAAGAACAAACACATCTGTGTTGGAAGAAGTGCCTCCAGAATGCCCCTTGGGAGACCGGGTGGCCAAACTTTGTCTCTCATACTTTGGACACATTATCAGGGGGGACCAGTTCCTGGGGAAGGACAGTGTGCTCAGTGAAGTGGACGGTCAGTGAAGAAGAAGAAGACCCCCAGCTGGTAGATTAACACAGTGGCAGCAGCAATGGGCTCAAACGTAGCAACGATTGTTAGGTTAGCACAGGCCCAGGCAGTGTGTTATGTTCTGTTGTACGTAAGATTGCTGTGATTGGCGTCAACTCCACGACACCTAAAAACAACAACATAGGAGTCTAATGTCAGCAGAAGACTAGAAGAGTTGATGCTATTGAGTTATGGTGTTGGAGGAGAATATTGAAAGTGCCATGGGCTGCCAAAAGAACCAATAGATCCGTTTTGAAAGAAGTGCAGCCAGAGTGCTCCTTGGAAGCCAAGATGGCCAAACTTCATCTCTCATACTTAGGCCATATTGTCAGGAGGGACCAGTCGCTGGAGAAGGATATCATGTTTGGTAAGGTGGAGGATCAGAGAAAAAGAGTAAGATCCCTAACGAGATGGACTGGCCAAGTGGCAGCTTCAATGAACTCAATCGTGGCAACAGTAGTGAGGTTAGCCCAAGATCGGGCAGTGTTTCGTTCTGCTGTGCAAAAGGTTACTATGAGTCGGTAACTACTCAATGACACCTAACAACAAGAACAACAAAGGGGTGTGTTTAATAATATTCTAGTTGGGTTAAAGCCCCAAGCTGTGTCATTTTCGTCAGAGGAAAAGATTATTAAGTTCATTGGAGCACAACAAGGTAGGTGGCTGTTGAGAACTTGGAGAACAGAACTAAGGTACATTATGGCCTAGGAAAGTTGGATAAGCGTCCAAAACAAGCAAAAACGAACTTCACTAGGGAAGTGGTTCATCAAAAGTCGACAGGAGTCAAAAATACTAGGCTACTGTTAAAAATCTTTTAAGAGCCATACCCTTACCGGGACGTCCAAATGAAGAACGTTTCCAAGCCTACATGTTTAAAATGCCTGCTGCATGTGAAATCCCACTTCTATGACCCTCCTGGTGACCACTGCAGCCAACAGTCAGTGCCCCCTATGCTCCCATCACTTCTGACGCGACTTCCGGCCTGATCTGGAGCTAGTTAAGACTGCTACCTCCCCTACTGGACTCCCCACTGTCCAGCAGCCTTGAGCAGGATGGGAAAGGACCCGAGCCAAGAGAAGAGGATGTAGGACAGGGGCAGCCGGGGCCAAGGAGGCAGCAGCCAAGATCCAAGCTCAGCCAAGAGCCTCAGATCTCCACTGGCCATTGCGTATACAAACAGCCCTCCTCACCTTCTGACCAAGTCATTTCCTGGGGACTTTGACAACCAGCTCCAGAGACAGAGAATGACCGCAGGGAACTAAAACAAACTGCATTCTACTCTAGTCTAGCTGATTTTCTGTGCTTTGATTTCAGACTTCAGCCAGGTGGGAAAGAAAGGAAAAGCAAAAATTAATTAGAGGCTTTGTTTTTATTTTCAGAGAGTAGCTGGGCATTTGAGGGGGGCAGATGGCATACTACAGAGAGAAAGATGAGATGGAACTCTGTATGATCCTTTGTCAGTATAGGAAATATGGAAACCCTGGGAGTAAAAGAAACGATTACTGTTTCTGTAATGTGCATGTATTTATAGTATAGTCTTTCATAGGTACCTTGTTTATACATCAGAGTTGAGTCAATTTGACCTTATTGTCAGGAGTGACCAGTCGCTGGAGAAGGATATCATATTTGGTAAGGTGGAGGGTCAGAGAAAAAGAGGAAGACCCCCAAAGAGATGGATTGACTAAGTGGCAGCATCGATGTCCTCAAGCATGGCAACAGTAGTGAGGTTGGCCCAGGATTGGGCAGTGTTTCATTCTGCTCTGCATAAGGTCGCTATGAGTTGGTACCGACTCAATGGCACCTAACAACAACAACAATATATACCATTTTTCTGAACACGTGGATTTTAGCCGAGGACTTAGAATACTTACTGATGTAAGCATAACCCTTCAGCATAGGTTGCACTTCATTGTAAAGAAAACAAAAAATCCTCACCCTGGAGCAATAACATCGTGATAAATGGAGAAAAGATTGAAGTTGTCAAAGACTTAATTTGTCTTGGCTTCACCATCAACACTCATGGAAGCAGCAGCCAAGAAGTCAAATGACGTATTTATTGCATTAGGCACATCTGCTGCACAAGACCTCTTTAACGTGTTCAAGAGCAAAGACATCAGTTTTAGGACTTAAGTGCGCCTGACCCAAACCGTAGTAGTTTTCAGTAGCCTCATATGCGTGTGAAAGTTGGACAGTGAATAAGTAAGACCATAGAAAAATTGATGCATTTGAGTTACGGTGTTGGAGAAGAGTATTAAAGGTACCATAGACTATCAGAAGAACTAACTAATCTGTTGTTGGAAGAAGTACAGTCAGAATGCTCCTTAGAAGTCATAATAAGCAAACTTTGTATCTCATACTTCATACATATTGTCAGGAGAGACCAGTTCTTGAAGAAGGACACCATGCTTGGTAAAGTGGAGAGTCAGCAAAAAAGAGGGAGACACCCCCACAAAAAACAAGATGGATTGGCACAATGGCAGCAGCAGTGGACTCAAGAGTAGCAGCAATTGTGAGGCTGGCAAATGACTGGGCAGTGTTCCCTTCTGTTGTACTTAGGGTTGTTGTGGGTGAGAACCAACTCAACATTGCCTGACAACAACACGTACAATCTTAGTGGGTGCTCAGGAGACACTGGGGAGTATACTTAATACAAGGTCATATTATGTTATATCAGGTTCAAACTTTTATTATATAGTTTCATATAGAAATAGGAAAACATTTATTTTTTATTTTTATTTTTGTCAATTGGTTTCTAGGAGGTGAAAACAGAATATTATATAAGAATAGTAGTCCTGTAATGTTACAGATGTCTTGGGTTTCTTTTTGTAAAAAAGAAAGAAAAAAAATGTTCTGCAGTGTGGTTAAGCAGTCAGCTGCTAACCTAGATCAGTGGTTCTAATCCACCAACCATTCCATGGGTGAAGGAAGAGGCAGTCTGCTTCCATAAAACCCTACGGGGGGCAGTTCTACTCTGCCCTGTGTGGTCCTTACAAGTCGGAATAGACTCAATGAACACAGCTTTGGCTTTCTTTCTCTTTTTTTTAAGAACTTAACAAAACCATTTATCTTTTCAGGGCAACAGAGGACTTGGTTTTTATGGAGAAAAGGGTGAAAAGGTAAAGACAATATATTAAAGCTGATTCATTCAGCATTTAATAATTAGAATACAAATCATTTTAATTGATTATATTATCTTAAGCCTATATGCCAACAGAAATTTACATATGAAATTAATCATTGTAAAGTGCCAAGTTGTAACACATGCCGCAATGACTGTTATGGATCCATAAGAGCAAAATGAACCATCTACTTGTGCACCAACGTTCACTGCAGCTTTACTCGACGTAGCCAAAAGGTGAAAACAACCCATGTGTTCATTAACAAAGTATGGTACATATGAAAGAGCTTTAAAAAGTTCATAGAAGACTTCCATTATCTTTTTACTCCATTTTTCCACAGACTTTTTGAAGACTCCTCATAGGCAATGGAATATTACACCAAATAGACAAGTGCATAGAAATAAATGTTTTTTTGATGATTCAAAGATAACTTGATAGTTTAAAGCTGAGACAATCTGTGGTTAGCAACTAGACAATAAATTTAGAGGGTAGACAAAATGGGGAGCTGTTGCTTAAGAGATACTGAGCTTCTATTTGGGGTGATGAAAACATTTTGGAAAGAGATAGTGGTGATGGTTTGTACAAAGTGATGAATGTAATTACTGTCATTCCAATTGTTCATTCAAAAATAGTTACATGACCATTAGGGGCTATATATTTTACCACACTTGTAAAAAAAGAAACATTTAGGTTCACAATAGTCTTCTAACATAGAAACACAACAACAGGGTAGTAGGGGGTGGGGTCAGGATGAAAAGGAGCCACGTGCCCTTGGGCTGAAGTCCAAAGGGGTGCTAATGAGACCACCTACGACCTTTACCCTTACCCCTCACCATCTACAAAGGGAGTGCAGTGCACTTTAGAGAGGTCTTCTGAGACAATTCCAGCCAACCTCCAGCACGTAAAAAATGAAGGCATTTTACCAAGGGCGTCTTCTCTGTGGCATTCCTTCATAGGGGGTCAAAAGAAACTGAGATAAGAATTGGAGACCTCAGACATGGAGCCCTCTCAGGAAGAAGTGATAGGGTCGTCTTTGTTGACTCCAAGCAGGAGTGATGAGGTGAAATCTGTAAGTCTTCATGGCTTAAGATTCAAAGGCCTCGTGTGTATTGAGCAGATTACATGAGAGGACCTGTGTCCAAGTCTCAGTATGGTGCCCAGCACCCAATGAGCACCAGAGCTTAAAAAAAACCCTCACAAACATACAGTCCCATTTCATTCACCAAGAAATCCTCTACCCAAAGGAAAACCGACTTGTCCCTTAGACCCCTTCATTTGAGCATTTTTGTTTTGTGTTTTTTATTACCAAACACATCCAAATAGGAGATCCTAGAGTGGAACCAAGTCCTGTTCCCGTCTGAATGGACAGCACAGACGAAATCATAAAAGAAAAAAATTGAGGGATTCAAATGCATAAAAATGTAAACTCCCATAAAATGAAATATAAATAAAATGATAAGGTAGAACAAAAATGAGAAAAATCTTGTGAGCAATCATTGAGAGGAGGAGGGAGTAGCCACATTAGCTACAACAGCAATAAAATCAGTGTCTGTAACCTACAAAGAGCTTATCCATTAATCCAATTATTAATACCAAGGTCCCAACAAGTAAATGAGCGATGAACAAGCAATTCGCATAAGAAATGATATTTTTTTAAAAAACCGAAGAAAAGCGTTTCTTGCTAGTAATAGCAATTCAAATTAATGAAGATACTATATTATTAAGGGAGCTGCTTTTTATTACGTAAAACATCCATAAATGGTGACATCCAGGGATGGTCTCTCATCACTGTACCTTGGTACCAATATTGGAAGTCAATAGAGTAGTATGTATCACAAACCACAAAGACATGTAGCTTTCAGACCCAATCATTTCTATTTCTAGAAATTCATCATAAGGAGCTAAGTTCCTCAGAAGCAAATACCACCCCAAGTTGTGAACAATCTAAAATTCTGTTATTAGAGAAATGCTTCATGAAATAACGCTTGTATGCATTCATTCTAAAGAATAATAAAAGGAGGATACAAATAATATTTATGTTAGACTGTTGCTCTCCAAAATAGGTATACGTAAGAATAACTGTATTGAAGTTTATAGTTTCTTTTCAATTTAAAGAATGCTTTTGTTCACCAACACACAGGGTGACATAGGGCTCCCAGGACCCAATGGAATTCCATCCGATGGCGATCGGGCCAGCACTGGACCCACGAAAGATACGATTCACCCAGAACAGTATAAGGTAAAGGGGTGTCAGAAAAATGGACTGTTTTCCCAGTTGAAGTACAAAAAAGGAGAATGATAAAGGAAATTTTCTTCAGTTTCATTCAATCCCACTGAAAGTGGGAGAGGCGTTCCATGAGAGAACCTCAGCGTCACATTAGTGAATAGTGTGTAAAAGCACATTCAGCCCTCCAGGATTGTTCTTCATCATTCCACACGTTTGTTAGAATTATAATCAAATAGCTCCATCTGTCCATCAGCTTAAACAATTGTCACGAGTTTAAAATAACAGCGAAACAGCCTAAACTCTTTTTTTAAATATGCTTCTCTAATTTAAATATAAAGTAACTATCACAGTATAATATAATTTGGAAATATTTGAGTGAAAATTTGCCTTAAGCAAAATAAAATCTATTTGTTCTCTTTGCTGACAAGAAGCACTTTCCCCTCCCACTACCCCTCCCCATAGAAGTCAGTTTTCTGACTCTTAATTTCCATGAATGCTTTATTGGGTTAAAATGTACATTTAGAGTCTAAACTACAAATAAACATCCTGAATTCTAACCTTTTTAAATATCTACAACTGTGAAATGAATGGCAGGAGCTTGGGATTCAGAGCATCATCTTGGTCAGGCAGACCAGGGCTGAAATTCCAGCTCTCTCTCCACAGAGACTGAGTCTTTCTACGATTCATTTTCCCTTGCTTCAAATGATGATCTCATAGAGCTATGCAGTGCATTACATCAGACAGTGTGTGTATACTAAACATAGTGCCCGGCACATTCAAATAAATGGGATCTAAAACAAAAACAGACTCAAACATAGAAGTCTTTGTGTTTTCTGAATAGAATGTAATTTTCCCTTAAGATGTAGGTTGAGATGGGTTTGGGTGTCCAGTCACGGTGAGAGAAGGAAGGTCACACTCAGTGTGGTTGAGACAAGCAGGACCACAGCATTAAGAGAAGAAATCAATCCAGGCGGCTGGGACTTGAGGTAGCAGAAACACTTGATACAGTAACGCACATCCAAAGACAAATGTGTCCAAGCACAGGTGATTGCGCACCTGCAGGACACCTCCAAATGTGACAGTAGGAGCAACCAAGGTAGACAAAATGTGGAGTCCGTGTAAGTGAAAGTACTCAGGTGAAGGACTCAGCCAAGTAGGGTTGAAGAAGGAGCGGGTCAGAGTCAGGTTGGACTGAGGCTGAGGTACCTAAGCATCCCAATCAGATTTTCTCATTTCCTCCTTTTTGCATGCATGGGTGAGGACTTGAATAAGACCTAGGGCTTGGATAAGACCTAGCCTACAGTAGTACAAAGTCCTGCTCCAGGTGTGATGGGGATAAAGGACCAAGCAGGTCATAGCATTTCTTTCACCAAGAGAAGAGAAAAGGAAAAAAGCCAAAGAAAGCTGTCGTTGGTTTCTAAAAGCCACTTTTTCTTGAGGCTTGCATTCCAACTGTATAAGCACTAGACCATAAGATAGTTTGAACTGCAAAGTCGGTGGTTCAAGTCCACCAGCCACTCCTCAGAAACCCTATACAGGTTCGCTGTAGGTCGGAACTGACTCTATAGCACTTAACACAACAACCTTCTGAATGATGTTTTATTCCAGCTAATGTAATGGGTTCTGATGTGATGCTGTAGGTTAATCACTGGACTGATAATCGCGATGTCCGTGGTTCAAACCCACCAGCCACTCCTTAAAACCCAGTCCAGACTTATCACGAGTCAGAATCAGTGTGAAGACACACAACAGAGCAGTGAAGGACTCGGCCGTGGGCATGAACTCCCACTATGAGGATATGACATATGCCTGTAACTGAGAAACGAAAACTGCACAGATTGAAGAGTAGACATGATGTCGGTAATACCAAAAATCATACGTGATGGAATTAAAAGTGTGACAATCCAGAAAGAAATTTAAAAGATACTTTTCTTTTTTCCTTGAATTCTGAAGCTATAAAATTTAGGAGTCAATGTCACAGTGGATTTGTGAGGATAGTTTAGAAGTTTTATCAAATACATAGCTCCTCATAACATCAAACTCTAATAAATTTTAAATAGTATAATTCTGAAATTAATGCAGTTCTCCTTTTTCATATTCTTCACAGGGTGACAAAGGCAGTATGGGGGAACCAGGAAGAAAAGTAAGTCACCTAACAACATTGCTTCTCACTTGTAATTCCCAGGTTCTCAGTGTTTACCTGGGAGTGATGGAATATGCAATAGTCTTCAGTACCCATTTGTCTACAACAACAAAATATTACCATTTATTCTCACACTTTTCCAGAAAATGATTGTTTTTTTCCTTTTACATAACAAACATTAGTTGGTCAGTGCCATTTTTTATTGCAACACTGGCTAACCAATGCCATAGGTGCCCTGGTGGCACAGTGGGTTAAATGTTGGCCAGCTCACTGTAAGTTCAGCAGTTCAAATCCACTGTCCGCTCTTTAGTAGAACGATGAGGTTGACGGTTCCCACAAAGATGACAGCCTCAGAAACACTATGAAGCAGTTGTGTTCTGTCCACTAGGGCCAATGTGAGTCAGAAACCACTGTGTGATGATGGCTTTGGTTTTGGATTTGGGGACTCAATAACAGGTTAGGTTCGGGAGCAGGATCCAACAAGTACCACAGTAATTGCTTTATCCTGCCCTCACACCATGCCCAGACACCTGATTATTAGCCAGGTAGGACCTCTGTGGTTAAAGTTTCTAAAATGAACCTAAATTCTTTAAGAAGAAAGAGCGAGAAGAGAAAGAGGGAAAGGGAAATGTGAGAATAGAGCTGGCAGCAGGGGCAAGGAAGGCTTATGGGCTGGCTTCTAGTCTGCTCTAGCTAAGTACTCACCTCTCTTCCTCTGTCTCTCTCGTTGTAAAATCACAGGTGACACGACCATGGCTTTGGCGTGCCCTCACTACTGTCCTCAGTTTACTCACATCTTCCCTACTAAGTGATGATATCCAGGCAAACTCATAGGGTTTCTCTGAGTCCTGCCAACATGTAGACTGTGTTCGGATCTCATATCAAAAGAGGTGGTCATGTGTTAAGTCAATAGAATTCTGAAGCTCTGTGACGTGATGTTCTCTTTGTCCTTTCCTAGGGCATTTCCTTGAAGGGAGAAGAAGGAGTCATGGGCTTTCCGGGAATGAGGGTAAGCCTTGTATCTTAGAATTGCATCCCTCTCTGGAGAAGAGTAAGAACAGAGTGCAAAAATGTGTCTGTTTACTCAGTTAAATTAGGCTGTGGTGACCAGACACACTGGGTCATTAGTGGTTCATAGTACCTCTCCTACCTTCCATATAGGAGGTCTGGGGGTGATTCCCACCAGTGTACCTCAAGTGCAGACACACCCTGTCTGTCAAGGGAGGCTATGTGTTACTAAGATGCTTAGAGGCTCAAAAACTCTCTCAATCTAATCCCCATCCAATCCCACTGTGCATGGGGTCACCATGAATCAAGAATACCAAACATGTAGAATGGCTGAAACACTAAAAGTTTATTTCTTGGTACCCTGAGTCCAACAAAAAGTGTCACTAGTGAGAAGGAGGGATCTCCTTCCATGGTGATTTTTGTCATCTTGTAATCTCTCAGGGATACCTGTTTCTTAGAAATTTTGACCTAGAAATGGCAGATACATCTTCGGCTCAGATTCCATTAGCCAAGACTCCATCACATAGCCAATATTAACAGTAGGGCAAGTTGGAAATGTGGGCATGGCCATGGGTCCAAGAAGACAGGAAAATGGGGGGCTGTGTAATCCTGGAGTCCTGGTGTAGACCTGTAGGATAAGCATTGAACTGCTGACAACAAGGTTGGCGGTTCTAACCCACCAGCTGCTCCTTGAATACCCTGTACAGGGTTGCCATGAATGAGAACTGATTCAACAGCACTTAACAATAACAACAACAAATGGTAGAAACTGCCCCTAAAAACTAGGGAAGAGAGGCTTATTAGAATATTGGAGTCGATGCCGTTTTATACTTTTGCCATTTAAAAAATTTATCCATATTTCTTTAAGTGATAGAAATAATATATTATGTGAAAATAGTACTAAAATGATTTATATCTAGAAAATCAAAGAGGTCTCTTGGTGTTTTGATAACTTTAATAGTAAATGTACTTTTTTTATTATAGTGAATTGTTCTTCCTTTATACCTTTGCACCATAGTTGCATGTTCTTGGGCTCCCCTTTTAAAATGGGGAAAAACTGAATACTGTTTTATAAAATATGGACCTAACCTAAGAATTGTTCTGTCAGCCCAACATTTTATTTGAATCAATATCAGGCACGATAATAATGCCATCTGGACATTTTTTGCTGTGTTACGTGAGAAAGGCATTATGAATCTGTCTCTAGCTCATACATACAGAAATAGGTTTTAAATAACTTACTGATTTTTACTATTTCTTATTCTCACTAATTCCGTTATGGAAGACATAGCTGTTAATGGCATCTGCTTTCTGTTCAATCCAGGGTGCAGCTGGCTTCGATGGTGAAAAAGGAATAATAGGACAGAAAGTAAGTCTGAACACACAGAATGCAGTCTGCTCTGGGCGGAACCATTGTGCACAGGCCAAATGTGAAGCTGTGGTATCTCAGAAAAGAACCATTGCCCAAGGGAAACCTATTGAAGATTTGCCCTTGCATTTACAGTAGCCTAAGTCGTCCTTCCTTTGGATCATTCGTGACACTTGCGTCAGGCTGGGCACTATTTATTTTTTTTTCCATTTTTTCGCACATTGGCCTTTTATATCTTTCCGTCTTTCTCTCCCTCCAGGCTTCCTTCCCATCATTCAGCCCCTACCAACCCTGGTGTTTGTTCCATCTAGTCTCACACTCTCATCGCTATGCTATCATTTGTCACTCTTAGGAATGTGGTCAACATGCTGACCAAATGCCCACTGTGCCTTTTTTCAAAATATAGACCTCACATATGAGGGGGCTTCAGAAAGTCTGTGGGAAAATTCCATTATCTTTTCATTCCCTTTTTCCACAAACATTTAGAAATCCCTTGTACTTTGATGCTGGTTTAAAGTCAGTGTTGACTCAATTCATTATTTTTGCCATGTGTCTGTGAATGGATTGTTTTACAAAACAAAATGTTATGTGAGAAAGGTATTATCTGGATCTAGGCCATACCACTGTAAATTAAGGGAGAAATAGGTTTTAAATGATTTGATTTATTTTTACTATTTATTATTCTTACTGATTCCATCATAGAATACATCGCTCACCTCCTTCTGATTATGGTCCCCCAGCGCCTCCCCAAGAACCAACTCTATCAAGGGGTCCTTAAGTACCATTTCAGATAAGTGCTAACTTATCTGAAGTTATAATAATATATTAATAATATAATATAACTTATAACCACATATTTTTAATATACGTATCATTTAACAAAAACAAACATACACATACTATTCTGCCACTTGCTTTGTTTTTGTTTGTTTGTTTTACCTAATGTGCGTTGGCGGTGCCATCAGGAACCTGGGGTCCCGGTGTGACGCTGTAGGATAAACACTAGACTGCAAGTTGGCAGTTGCTATGAGTTGAAATCAACTGAATGCCACCTAACAGCAACAAAAAAAGCAATCTTGATTCCACGTTGCAATAGAATTGCTTTCTTCTTCCAATTCCTGTCCTTTTACCATAATCTCAGGCCAGGCTTGAGCCCAGGATCTGCCCTAAAAACACGCAGCTTTCCATATCATTACTTACTAAGAGGAGATATCCCAAAAGGTACCATACCATTCTATACCTCAACCCAAGACAAAAAAGATCACCTTCTAGTTTGAGGATTACATAAGCAGTTATTGTAAAAGAACCAAGGACTAAAGCTATCATTAGCCTTTAAGGGCGTATAATTCAAGTGCTGGGAGCAAGGTGGTTTTCTAGAATAAACACTGACTGTGAACCACAAGGTCAGTAATTTGAGCCCACAAGCCACTCCAAGAGCGAAAGATGAAACTTTCTGCCCCTGCAAAGCTTTATAACCTTGGAAACCCTGTACATGGTTGCTATGAGTCAAACCGACTTGACATCACTTCATAACAACAATTAAAATGCTATTCTTTAATACTTTTATTTCTATTTGCTAGTGGAATCATGATTGTTAGTAGATTTTTGTGGGGTTTTTTAATCCAACACAAAGGAGTTATAGTGTTATTAAAATACAATTCAATACAGTGGCCACCTAGAACTCAGCAGATGGAAGACAACAAGATGCTAAGCAAGTATTTCCACCTGGTACCTTTGCTGCAGCCCAGATGTTAGGAATTCAGGCAAGCTTCTTGGAACTTACTTTCTGCAGCTGCAACAACTTGAGAAGACAGATTGTTTCCGTTAACAGGGACATCACAGTTGCTACGGAGAAATAGTTTACTTAACTATAAATATAAGAAGCAGACAGGGCATACACAGATGAGTCAGCCACCCTTACATGTTAGTACCAAACAACACCACAGTCATGTCTGTTGTCTGTTACTTACTTGCCAAGTTGCCATTACCCTCACCAACGGTTGTGTGCTCACAAACTTTGGTTTTATGGTATAAATTGGAATCAGAAACCAAATGCAACTTCAAGGAGCAACTGTAAAACAGTAACATAAGATGCATTAAAATTGGGTGAAACTAAAAAGAAAATAATGTATTCTGGGGAAAAGTTTGTTTTCATTTAGCTGCACACACGTTCAATTATACCTGGTTCATACCAAGCTAATTATAATTTCTATGAGGGGACTTCAAAAAAGTTCCTGGAAAATGGAATTAAAAGATAACGGAATTTTTTGTCATGAACTTTTTGAAGCCCCCATACCAGTTCTAACCTTTTCTGTAAGGGAATATAAAGTGTCTTTTATAGATTGGGTTATTTCAAATTTCATAAAGATTGCTTTTTCTCCCGTTTCTAATGGAATCCTTAGAGCTCTGGTAGCATAGTGGTTACGAATCGGGTTGCGAACCATAAGGTCAGCAGTTTGAAACTACCAGCTGCTCTGTGGGAGAAAGATGAAGCTTTCTGCTCCCGTAAAGATTTACAGCCTCGGAAACCCTGTACAGGGTCGCTATGGGTCGGAACCGACTCGAAGGCACTTAACAACAACAACAATATTTTTAGTAACTGAGCAAACATTTGGCAGAGCCTCTGGTAATGTAGTGGTTACGAGTCGGGCTGCTAACCTCAAGGTCTGCGGTTCCACAGGAGAAAGACGAGCCTTTCTGCTCCCGTAAAGACTTACAGCCTCAGAAATCCTATACAGGGTTGCTATGGGTCGGAACCGACCTGACTCACGTAACAACGTAGTTACCAGCTACTCCTCAAAAACCCTATAAGGGTCACTATGATTCAGAACTGACTCCACAGCATTTAACAACAGATAACACAGTTATTTCAGATAGAATTCATGAAAATCTATTCGCTTGAAAGGTGTACCCTCAATGGCACCCTTTGGGTGTGATGTCATTGGAAGCCCCCCCTATATCAGTATAATCAATTGAACTATGTCAGACCTATTCGGGCTCAAAGGATGTCTCGTTTACGTACTGCATCACTGAATATAAGACTCATTCTTACCTCACGCGAGGATCAACATTGTTGGTTATGGCAAGTTATTCTCATCACTGATTTGTTTGAAGGGGAGACTAAGTGGTCAATTTGGGTTCTTTTATTGAAATCTCATGGACTTCTATTCTCACATGCTAAATCACACTTCATCCCTGGCAGGGAGTCTCTGATATCTAATGAGTGTTTTCTCAGAGGACCCTGGTGGTGCAGTAGTTAAGCGATTGTGGTTCCTTGGGAGAAAAGCCTGTCCATCTGCCCTGTGAATGCCACAATCTAGGAACCCTAAAGCACTGTTCTGTTCTGTGCTGTAGTGTTACTATGAGTTGAAATAGACTCGATCATTGAAATGGAAACAGGCAGGGTAAACATATGAAGAGGGGGCAGGAAACTATGGCGGAGCTTTTTAGCCACAGTCCTGGTGTGGTGCTGCAGGTTAATGCGCTGGACCGTAAAGCTGGTGGTTGAAGCTCACCACCTGCTCCTAGGAAACCCTATACAGGGTCGCTATGAGTCGTAACTGACTCAACAGCACTTAACAACAACAAGCCTTTTAGAAGTATGCATTTCCATAAAAAGCTTTAAATAATAAATTCTTGTTATCAGTTTATTACAGCCAGTCTCTAAAGGCTTCTGCCTAATGATTATCCATTAGCCTAGTTTGGATTGTTTTTAACCTTGAAAGAAAAGAAAAAAAATTGACCACCTCTAAAAATCTATAATCAGAATTTCTCATAAGTCTTATATATTTGTTGATATTAAGTGCCATCGAGTCTTTTGCGACCCTGTGTAGGGTTTCCGAGGAGTGACTGGTAGTTTTGAACCACTGACCTTGAGGTTCAAATTGACCTTTCAGCCCAGTGCTTATCCTACAGTGGCACATCAAAAACTCTGTATTCTCACTGAATTTAAACCAGAAAAGTGGCGTGGTGTTAAGTTTGATGAGTAGAGAGAGCCATGCATATTTTCAAAGCACTTTGTAGTTACTCGTTCTAAAACAGAAACGTATCTGACTTCAGTTTATCCAAGTGATGAGGGTCTGTGACACTTGTCTTAGCTGGAGCACAGGCCCTGCATCCAAGGGAGGTGTCAAGGAACCTTCTGCATGCAAGCTGGAGCGTTGCATCACTGTAAGGACCCCAGGACAGTTCCTTCATGGGACCACTACCCCCTGGTTTTCCTCCACCCCTCTCATCATGCCTGCCACTGAGAACCACAGAAGAAAAGAGTTTTTGTTATTGTTTTAACTATTGGGATTCCAGCTGCCAATGTTCTCACATATCCTCCGAGTGGGAACTAATTGTCCACCTTATCTACTAAATTATACATGATACTCAGTTGTGCACACCTCCTTCCAGTCCATCACAGGGAACTTTGAGATCATCGTGTTAACTAAGATGCCAGGCTATTGGAGTTTGAGCTGCCAAGAGGGCTCCTGAGTGTTTTTTCACTCTTCATTACTCAGATTGGTTTTACACAATATCTAGCTATCGCAGACATATGCTTAAAGTATTGGTCCTAGTCTGGTTTTTTCAGCAGAGGTGATTAGCACTTGGCATTTGGGGATCTTGTTAGTAATGTTCGCTGTTGGTATCACAACATGACTGAGCAGGGATTGGTTGGCACTCAGTGAACTGTAGATTTGGCAAATTCCAGAGCATTGTTTGAGCAGACTTGTCATTTGGGTTCTGCTCAGACTAAATCAATGCCTAGTTGCCATCTCTTCAGTCTTTGGCAAGTTCTTTTAGGGTTCCTAGTTTATTTCATGAGACGGATTCTAAACAGCAGATCATTTTTAGTATCAGAGATATGAAAGACTAAACAATTGTAGGAAAATCCGCCTTCGCTTTTGAATCTTCAGCTCCACCTAGTGTGAAAGACAGTCATAATCTAAACCATAGACTCTCAAAGGAAACAACAAAATCATGCCAATTTTAGTTTATTCTCAACAATAAGGCTTGGCATACGTGTTTGTAGATTAAAACAAAACAAAACAAAATAAAACCTGTAAGATAATCAGATAATATATATTCTTTAAATACTATTGGCACCTAGCCTTCTGAATTTTGGTGGCCTTACCAAGCATGATGTGGCGCTGTGGGCTAATTAGACTGCAAAGTCAGTTTGAACTGCAAGGTCGGTGGTTCCAGCTCACCAGCTGTTCCTTGGAAACCCTATACAGGGTCGTTATGGGTCAGAATCAACTCAACAGCACTTAATAACCAAACAACAACAACCAAGCATATGGGAGCTCAGTGGCTCTAGAGAATAAGCACTAGACATCAAAAATCACCAAGTCAGTGGTTCAAACCTACCAGCCTCTCCGAGGAAGAAAGATGAGACTGCTTCCACAGAGATTTATAGTCTCAGGAACTCTAAACAGGACCTCTATGAGTCAGACAGACTCAATGACACTTAACAACAAGCATACTTGCTAAATACACTTTAGCAAGAGGGACTAAATATCTAGATTGTTAAATAGCTCCACAGGCCTATCCAAATACTTTATGATGTGCTGCATAAGAGTAAATGTTGCCTTTCAGTAAACATTCAAAAGAATTGTTGGTGCTGTTAAGAGTTGATTTGACCCATAGCGACCCTCTATAGGGTTTCCAAGGAGCGGCTGGTGAACTTGAACCACCGGCCTTGCAGTTCAAATGATTTTTCAGTCTGGACCATTAGCCCACAGTACCACACCAGGAAAAATCAATAATTAGCATTAGAGTTTGTTTTTATTTGTTTTGTTTTTTTAACTGTCTAAAAATCAAAAAATGTTGATTTTCTAACACTTCCATTTGGTGTGAACTGAAATTTTCAAAATTCATATTGGAGAACGATTTTACTAACTAAACCAGGGAATCAACACTTGAGTCAGTGACCAGTCATAAAATCACTAGTGGGGACAACTTGACATACACTTATGTCCCCTTTGATGTGATGCCATGGGAATTTCAGAGCACCCTCCATGAAGAAATCTTGCCAAAAGATGACCCTAAATCTACGAAAACCTATAGGCTTAACGACTACCATCCTATAATTCTATATTCTGTTTTCCCTGGTTATCCCCAAAATGTCTTTTTTTAAGTTGTATTGTTTGAATACTCAGAGGAATATGGTGACTAGAGAAATACACTCTACAACTCCACAAGGACGAAATTGACCAAAATTGAGGATGTGGGATATTTACAACCCAAATGACGCAGTTCTTCAACAATAGCAAAAACAGGTATTTTTCAAAAAGTAGAAAAGAAAAGGAAACTATTTGACCTATTTTATGAATCCCTATTCAAACAATACAACTTAAAAAAAGATATTTTGGGGATAACCAGAGAAAACTGAATATAGAATTATATGATGGTAGAATGAACTATTGGAGTCCTAGTTTGGCACCATAAGATAAGCAAGGTCGGTTTGAACTGCAAGGTTAACAGTTCAAACTCACCAATTGATCCTTGGAAACAATACAGGTCACTTTGCATTTGAATCAATGCACTTAACCACAACAATGAATGAGTATCAATTAAGTACAATAATGACATTGCAGCTATTTTTAGTTATCTGTTAATGATAAAATAATTTTTTTTTTTCCAATTCTTTCTTGCAGGGAAGTAGAGGACCTGATGGTTACCAAGGCCCTGATGGACCTAAAGGATCCAAGGTGATCTCACGTATTATTTGGATTTTTTTTTCCTTAAATTTCTTTTCTTTAGAGGGTGTTATGGCAAGGTATATGGAATCCTGCTGGCACTGGTGGCTAGCCTTGGCCATTCCAACCCCCCAGCAACTCCACATGAGAAAGAGGAGGCTGTCTGCTTCCGTAAACATTTATATTTCCTGACACCCTAATGAGCAATTGTACTCCCTCCTACTTAGGGCTGCTGTGAGTGGGCATACCCTGGATCACAATGGTTTTTGTGAAGTGGGTTTTGCAAAATCTCTAGACTTACCTGTACTGCCCGATTCAGGCATCGTTATCAAAAGTGTCCTACTCTATAGTGACGATAAGGAGCTCTGGTAGCATAGTGGTTACGAATCAGGCTGCGAACCTTAAGGACAGCCGTTCAAAACTACCAGTTGTTCCGTGGGAGAAAGATGAGGCTTTCTGTCCCGTAAAGATTTATAGCCTTGGAAACCCTGTACAGGATCACTATGAGTCGGAACCGACTCCACGACACTTAACAACAACAACGTAGTGATGATGGTGATGGCGAAGATCCCAAAATAATATTGAAACCTGCCTACAGTGCTTTCCATTGGTGCTTCTAACTAACGACTTGAATGTCTGGGACCCTCAGGACAGGCTAGTTCCCCAGGTACAGCGTAAGGGCTGATTAGTCAAAATAGCAGATCAGCTGAAGTTACTTGAGTCTCAATAATCAAGATCCAGTTGTAATCTTTAGAAACAATGCGTATTGTCAAAAACTCTAAAAAACTATTGTCCTCCTCTTTTATTTTCCACTTTTCCCCTTCTAGGGAGAAACGGGTGACCAAGGCCTCCCAGGACTACCTGCTTACTCTCCTCATCCTTCCCTAGCCAAAGGTTTGTACACCACTCCTCTTGCAGTACATATACATATGCATATATGTATATACATTTGTTATCAATACATATCATCACATATACATTTTGTTCTCAGTTTTTAAAAACGGATCAGAAATATTTAATAAGGGTTTTCTGGTGGGAAAAAATGTTTAAAGCATAACATAAGGAAAATCTCAATCTCTTGGACAACTCTCCTCATGGTTTAAAAATAGTATAATTGAAATGAGCGTTTTCCCTCTGCCAGAGAGAACTCACTATTTCCCAGGCAAGCCTCGTCCACTTCCCCGTAACTTCCTGAGATTCCAGTTTTACCTTCTGAAGCTTATCAATCACGAAATCCAGTCCTTGAACGCATCAACTCTCAGTGGCATGCTCACACTCACCTCCTGTCGTTTCTTCTCCAATTAAACCAAGATTCTTAAGCTATTCGGTTTGACAGTCTGAGTACTGAGATGAATCACAATCCTTAATCTGTAAACAGCCACATCTTTTCAATGTCTCATATGCCAGATAGTCTTCCCACAAACCCAGGAAGCGCCTCCCCATGGTGACAGTGATCCTCTGGGTACCAGTATGGTATATTGCATGTATCACAGCTAATACTCACCATGTTTATTTTTGTATCTCCTTAACAATTGGCAAGATCATATTGGAATACAATTCTAATTTTGTGACTAGAGCTCAATGCTCTGAAACTTTCTGAATGTGCACCCTCAAGTACTAATTGTATGCATATATACTTACAGATAATTTATATATGTTCTTATAGATCATTTATACATGTTAGAGAATGCTCGTCAGGGCAGGGAATTTAGCCTGTGTTGTTCATTACTGTATCTTATTCTATGCCAATGACAATACCAACACATAGTAGAAGCTTAACAAATACTTACTTGAGTGATGTACATGATAACAGAGAGATACAAAGCAGAAAATTTAAAGAGATATTTATAAAAGGTTGTTAAGTGCCGTCGAGTTGGTTCCAACTCATAACAACCCTACACAGGGCTTACAAGGAGCAGCTAGTCAGTTTGAACTGCCGACCTTGAGGTTCAAACCAACCTTGTAGTCTAGTACTTAGTTGCCAGCGGCTCAACAGGATACCATTTAAAATATGAAGATATTTTCAAAGATGAGATATTTAAAAAATAAAGATGTTCTAGTATTTTCTTCTGCTCCCAGTAGGTCATCAGGCTTGGGGGCTTCAAAAGGTTTGTTGTAAAAGTACCTTAACTCTTGTTTTCTGTTTTTTGTTGTTAAACAAAAAAGATCTATAATTTTATTTAAGAGCCATGTGAAATATAGAATCAAGAGTTGGCTAGCAGTGAGAAATAGTGCTTGACATGTTTTGGAAATGTAATAGATCAGTTTATTGATATAAATTGTGCACTAGCCTATGGTCAGTGTAGAATTTTATCCATTGAAATTAATAAGCACAATTCGATTTACAAAAAGAATGTGAAACTCTTCTCCAAAAAGATTCCTTAAGACACTGGGAGCTTCTCACTTGTAATAAAATCTCTTAATCATCAAAAATTTCTAACATAGTTTGGTCAACTTTCTGCCTTAACTCTTCATTCCATTTTTTTCTTGAACTTTTGAAGCCCCCCTAGTATGTCCAGCAGTTCAGTACACACTTTCCACCATAGATGTGAGCCCTCTGTCCATTCTGTAACTGTTTTCACATATCTTCATCTAATGTTGATGAAAATACCATCAGTGGATTTTGAAATATCTGCTCAACAAGCTGTTGATCTCCACCTAACTGTAGAGACAACATTTCCGTTTCTCATTTGTGGTATCCAAAGAATCTGCCAACCCCAAAACCATGCTGAAAAGATACATGTAGTTGGTTTAACTAGATTTTTTTAAAAGTTTTTATTGTGAACTGAGTAATAGTTTACATGGGAGAGCATCGGTTTTACACTCATCGTTTCATTGCAATGATTACAATCTCCTTGTGCATACTCATTCAACAGTATTTACTTCTATTCCCTCTGCTTTTGTTTTTTGGGGGGAGTAGCGGTGGAATGTACACCAAAACACTCAGGAATGTATAATCATTTAAACAACCTGAAGGACACATTCTACAAGCCTGCCTCCTAACCGCCAGCACACAGCCTTTCTCTTTCCATGAGTCCAGAGTCCTCAGCTGCTCTGTCTCTCCATATCATCATCTCTGTCTCCATCCCTGAGATCTAAGTGCCCATGACCAAGTAACTTTACCTCTCTGAGCCTGTTTCTTCATTTGTAAAATTGGGATCCTAAGGCATTCTCCCATAGGGCATTATGGTAATTAAATGTGTGTAAATTATCTAATAGTGAGCCTGGCATACACAGGCATGCTCAACAAATGTTGTCTACTGTGACTATTTGTATTCCCTGTGGTTCCGCAACATGAAACTATTTGATTCCCAGTCAAAACAATCTTCCCTTCTTTCTAAACCTCTATGTATCTTTTTGGCATTCTATGTCTCTTACTGTTTTAGGTTACTTATGGGAATATTGCAACTTCCATATTTAATCATGAATGAGCTCCTTGAAGTCAGAGACCACCATATAGTAAACATGTTGAACCTCCATCATGCTGACACAATACACTGATATCCAGGACATATGTATCCAGTGAAAAGTCCAGGTCTGTTCTGATACCTAGATACCAATGTCTAACTGGTATTGTGGGGTCTGTTTGGGTTCCAGGAGTTAGAGGCGACACAGGGTTCCCAGGAGGTCCTGGGGAACCAGGATTCCGAGGTGAGCCAGGAGACCCCGGCCCACCAGGTTTCCCTGGCATACCCGCTGGACGTGAAGGTAATGTCATTTCTTGGTATCATATTATAGAACAACAGTAACACTCTCAAGCCTAAACATGAACAATGGAGCCATTACTGACTGCACAGATTGTGGTTTTTATATTTTTACTTTTTCTCATAGACTAGACTTGGCAAACGCTTGTTGTTGTTGTTGTTAAGTGCCGTCAAGTCGGTTCCGACCCATAGAGACCCTGTACAGGCTAATGCATCTTAAATACATTTGGGGACTATCCTCACAGAACCATTATGCCTATGGTCTGCATGATGCCTCTGATGCCTAATTAACATGTCCCCATCAGTTGTTTGGGAAGAGCAGAAGGAACAACCACATATTTCCAAGGGTCATAACAACTCTCATTGCCATTACTGGGGGGCAAGAAGAGGTGTTTTTTTTTCAGATCATAAAAACAAAGATGAAATAATATCAGTGACCTCCATCCCTTTGGTGTTGATTAGGTTGTAAAGTTCACTAGTCTTTTTGGTGTCTCCTGTGGACATGAATTCAAATGTAACTGGTAGATAGCAAAAGTTGCTTGGAGAGACTTAGGCTGCTGGTGAATGTTGTTGGATTTGCAGATGAGAAGAGAGGCTTACCTGGAGAAATGGGACCCAAAGGCTTCATAGGAGACCCAGGCACCCCTGCTCTGTACCCTGGGCCACCAGGAGTTGATGGAAAGCCAGGACTCCGAGGACCCCCAGGTGCCCCTGGGCTACCTGGACCAGATGGTAAGTGGATGGAAAAACTAAAGGGAGGGTGCATTTCAGTGTTCAAATAAAGAAGCTAAACACCAACAGAAATTTTTGTTTGGGTTTTTCTGCTAAATAATTCCCTAAAGTAATCCAGTAGGCCAGTGGTTCTTAAGTGCCATCTCTGGTGTCACTGCTTCTCTGGATAGGGTCCCACATTCCGCTCATGCTCTTCTCCCTTAACTCGATTTTGAAGATTTGGAGACAACATTTTTAAACTGACACTGACAATGACATCTTTTCAGAAACGTCACTGATGGAGGGCCCAGAATTCATCTAGTTTCCCTTTTATCACACTGAAATCCTGGAACGCACACTGGGAAGATGAATCACTAATGAAAATCATCTTTGTCCACGCGTAAATTTAGAATGGCTGCAGTTGTCATCTTGGCTAGTTGATAACATGCCTGCATTATTGTGATCTGGAATGGTAGCGGGGTTGTACTCCAGGGTTTTAGAGTCAAAGGTTGACTGCTAAGCAGCTTCTATCAGGGAAAAGAGAAAAACAAACTTGCTACTTACAAACTCACATTGAATGAGCTTGTTAAAGTGGGAAAGAGGGAGTAGAGGGGGACAGTGTATGAAAAGAAATGGTCCTAGAGTAACTAAAAATAAATGTAATTTTGCTATTCTTCCAAGCAAACGAAAGGTCTGTGGTTTTTAATTTTGTCTAATTTTATTTAATCATCATGTTGTTAGCACTGCTGTTAAGTGCTGAGTCAGTTCTGACTTATAGCAACGCTGTATGGGGTTTCTAAGGTTTGAACTGCAAACCTTTTGGTTAGCAGTCCAGTGCTTATCCTGTGGCACCAGAACACCTTTAATCATTATGTTGTTGTTGTTTAGTGTCCTTGAGTTGGTTTCAACTTTTATCGACCCGGTATAGGTTTTCCAAGGAGCAGTTGGTGAGCTTGAACCACTGACCTTGCAGTTCAAACGACTTTACAGTAGATTATGATATAGCTTTATCCTCTGGAATCAAAACAGAAGACACTAGTCATGAAAAAAAGACAAACTCTTGTAAAACTAGTGAGTGTCAGTAGCCATGTGTAATTGACAAAGTAAGTAAGGTTTGACTTCACTGAAAGTCCTTCAGCAAAACATCTAAAAGACACCATCTAGAAACAGTTGCAAACTAAAATAGCTGTCCCAGTGTCAGTGATAAACTCCATACATCTGCTTCCACAGTGGGGACCTTAAGCTTCGGCATAGTCTCTGTCCTCTGTATGATCACGATTTTAAATAGACCAATCAGCTTCCTTACAGCCTTCTGTGGAGACCAAACCCCAGCTTAGCATGTGATCATTGTTTATGACAAGAAAAGATGGCTACGTTCTGTAAAAAGAAGTAGCCATCAGTGCCCAGGCAGATAGAAAGACTGTGGAAGTCTAGAAACTAAGAAAACATCATAGTCTGCATTCATTTGCTCCCCTGAGGGTATCACTGAATCGTAGCACAGATGATTTTCCAGTTGTTGGTGTCAACTGTGGCTCATCTTTTTCAGTTGAGAGGGTTCTGTTGAAGGAGGCAGGGAAAAGCGCAATCCATCTTTGAGCTTGCCCTCGAAGAAGTTTAATCTTTCCAACATCAGAGCTGAAAGAGGGACGCTTTACATACTGTAAGAGCTTCTAATGCAGCGCTCTAGATAAATGAGGCATTGGAAGAAACTATGAGATCACACTACCTCTTTATATTTGATATTGACCCAAATTTAGCAGCCTCTTCTTTTAAAAAAATATTTTGCTTTAAATTCTCTGATTTCACCCTCAGTAATCTCTCAGGTTATTTCTTCCTATCGTATCTTCTAAGGGATCGTGTTTGAGTTCAGTTGCAGATGAATCCACTTGAGTGTTAGCTGTCTCAGTGCTTTTGGAGAGGACGTGTTTGTGCCATCTCTGAAACTAAGATTCTTGGAGATGTTCGAGGCGCTCACATCTTTACCTACTTCTCCCATTGAAAGGCTTGTCAGTCACTGCTCTCATTCTACAGGAAATGTTTAGGTGAAGATAGTTGCACTTGCCCAGTTTTCTTTCAAAAACAACTACAACTACAACAACAAAAAGACGCTCGAGTCCCATATTGTAATGAAAAATATTTCAGGCACAGCTATTTCCTTGTATCATGAGTTTCCCAAAGCGTTTGCACAGCATTCTCTTTCATATTTTTATGATCATGCAAGCAATATTTCTTACTAGAACATCTGTGATGAAAACGGTTTCTCTGAACACTGTATTTATTTAAAAACTTATATCTGTTGAGTTTTCCTTTTTTTTTGGGGGGGGGGGTGGCGCAACAGAGCATCTTACATTAAAAACCAAAAGTATAAAAACATTATGTGTCTCGAAGGACTGATACTGAAGACTGACTTTGCCATCCTTCCTGTACTTAAATTCTGTTTTGATAAAGACACATGGCTTCTTGTATTTGTTTGTGATTTTCCAACATAGGTCAAATGCAAGCAAATTAACTTATTTCTGATTCATATTGCAGACTTATAAGGAAATGTATAGAGCAGATGGAAATCTTATCAACTAACATTTTAAAAAACGTATAATTTAAACTTTTGATTAAAAATATACCTTAATCCTGTGAGACACATTGTTTCCAAATTGCCTTTACAGAGAGCAATCTTACACAAAATGCAGCCAACCATAATGGCCTTTTAATGTTTTTGTGTATGTTCATCATTTAATATTAATGGCCTGATTCTCACAGCATTTTTCAACTTTCCCCTTGGATTTTTATTTATTGGATTCTTTTCTTGCTCGCTGCATTTTTTTTTTTCCTGTTTTATGTGTGGTTACTAATGAAAACCAGAATTTTTATTCTTTGCAGTTCCAGAAAAATGTGCAAGCCATGAAGTCACTTTTCTTTCAGGGTGAAATATTTAGCTTACTCCTAGTTCAAATTCAACTAGCTGAAATCAAGTAGTAGAGCCAAGTCCATTCTGTTCTAGAATAAATTTCAAAACAAAAACACAAACTGCTGGGTTCACTATGGTCATTGTCCTGTTTGTGAAAATCATGTTAAAACACTTCAGAGACTTACAGGACTACTCTGAAATTAATATATTAAACAAGGGGAAAACAGCATAGAAAAGAGGAAGAATGTCACCTTAGAATGACCCCTTTGTGTCTTTTTGTTCCTAGATTTCCAAAGAATCAGATACTTACTCTATAAGGAATAGCCTTAATCTCTGTCCTTAATGTTATAGCTCAAATTTGAAATGCCAGCTTTCTTAAAATAGCCAACAATCAGTTGCCATCACTCTGGTGCCAAATCATGGCAGCCAGTGTGTGAGGTCTTCCACGGCTGCTTGCGCGCAAGGACGCTTCCAGGTCTTTCTCCCAAGGCATCCAAGCACACTACCTGCTTACCCCATCCGGGCACTCCATCCATGCTTCAATAACTACCTGTGATCATACTCACATCTTCTTGTTATTGTTGTTTTTGTTGCTAAGAACCATCGAGTCAGTTCCAACACATAACAACCGTGTATCGAGTTTCCAAGGAATGGCTGATAGTTTTGAACCACAAACTTTGTGATTAGAAGTCCCATGCTTATCCTACAACACCAACACCAGGACTCCTCATCTACTTTTTAATAAATATTGGGAGAACTTGGAGACGTAAAAATAAAGCCCACAAAATCCCTCACTTGGCTGAAATGACTTTTTTTTAAAGCTTTTATTATGAATAGAGTGATAGTTTTTACATAGCAGAACATGGGTTTTGCATGCAACAAATTGTATTTTATGTTATTACAATGGTTACAGTCCCCTCCATGCACCATCATGGTGCACGGTGCAGTATTTGCCTCTATTCCAGTTCTTATTTTTGTTGTTGTTGCTTTTGATATACACAAAAACAGTCAGGAATATGTCATCATTTAAGCGATCAAAGGGCACATTTTGCTAGCCTGCCTCCTACCCACCAGCACACAGCCTTTCTCTTTCCTTGAGTGTAGGGCCCTCAGCTGCTCTGTCTCTACATGCCATCACCTCTGCCTCCATCTCTGGTGTCGCTGCTTCTCTGGTTAGGATCCCACATTCCACTCATGCTCTTCTCTCTTGATGGTCATAGGGTTCTCTGTTCCTGTCATGTAAGAATAACCACTCCCCCTTTTTATTACACATCTTCTGTCTTTACAGTTGTGACCATTGCAGTTATTCATGATAACATTTACTCACTATTGAATCAAAAGAATCCTGTCCCCATGTCTGCCATCCCTTTTCACCAGACCCATCTAGACAAGATGAAAATTAGTGGGGATTCTACCTTCCCTCCCTCCCTCTGAAACTAAACTCCCTCTTGAATACTTGTAAGCCAGCCATTTCATGCCTTGATAGCCCACCCCCCACCCCATTTTAGGTAGCCAGTGTCTAAGTTCCCTGTCCCTGTTCACCGTGTGCACTGAGGAGATAGGCTTGATCCTTGATATGAAGACTCCTTCCCTCTCGGTTGGTATTTTTACTTCTACATCCATAAGTGAAAGGCATGAAATGACTTGACCTGGTGACCAGGGATGTGATGGAGCCAAGTCCTGGGCTGTCATTTCATATTCAGCAACTGCTTCTGTGCAGCTTCTCTCCTCCTCTCTTCTTGGCTCCCATAACAGAACAGCCCATGGCCCTGGTATGGCACTGTAGGACAAGCACTGGACTGCTAACAAAGGTTGGCAATTAAAACCCACCAGCCACTCCTCGGAAATCCTCTACAGGATCGTTATGAGTCGGAAGGAGCTTGACAGCACTTAACAACATCTTTTAAGCAACTCTCTTTGAGGGTCCTTTGATAGCACTTCCATCGTCTTCCTCTACCCATTCAGTAAATGTTGGCCCTTGGAGTTCAGTCTTGGATCATCTTCTCTCTCTCTACTAGCTGAAACATTAGAGATTCAAACCCAATTACTAGCTGAAACATTAGGGATTCAAACCCAACCAGACGTGCCTTAGGAGACAGGTCTGGGCCACTAGTTATGATGGTGGATAATAAGGACAACCTTCTGTTTGTGGGCTCTTTGCTTCTTTAGGTCTTGATTTAAGGGTCACTTCCTCCGGATTTTCCTGACACCCCTCCAATTTTATTAATTTCTCTTTCTTCATAGCAATGGCCAGAATTCAAAATTCGATAGGGGTTTGTTCACCACTGTGAGCTTAATGCCTGTCTCCATACCTGGACTGTAATTCCCGTGGCGATCATTTTCTACTGTGTTCCGAGTTCCTAATACACTGCCTGGCATAGAATAGTCATTGAATAAACGTTTGCTGGATCTACTAACTTCAAGGTCAACAATTTGAAACTACCAGCGGATCCACGGGAGAAAGATAAGGCTTTCTGCTCCTGTAAAGATTTACAACCTTGGAAATTCTATACAGTGTAGCTGTGAGTCAGAACTGATTCAGTGGCCCGCAACCACCACCACCACCATTGAGATCAAATTTCATGGGACATTATTCATTGCTACTTTCCCTAAATATTTATAAGTACCTAAGAGCATTCCAACATTCCAATTCTGGTGTCATCTTCCCAAGCAGGCAGCAAACATTTTTAAAATCTGGTGTTTTCTTCTCCTTCATAATCCCTTAATAGTCTTATTCTCTCCTCCTTTCGGGCATGATGTGATGGAGATGGACAGATAGTGTTAATTTGTTGGGCAATTTTTTATTTGATTGTTGGAGCGTGTGATCACTAGTAGATTTAACAGTGATGAAAATAAAAGAATGAATCCTAGAAACATTTGGATTCCATAACCCAGGATTGGGTTTTGTTTCATGGAAATGTGCAACCTTATGTCTACCACAAGATGGCATTTCTTTAGAATGTGACATCAAGGATTTTGATGGCTTTAAAAATACCATTCTTTATAACTTCACCTCAACATACCTGCTTGGAATTACTGGAACCCTGAAGATAGGACATGACTTTAGAAGTTTCCTGAAGCTTGTTAGTAGGGATGGGGATGCTGGGGAGCATACAGGAGCAGGAGATCAGGAGGTGTCGGGGAGAACATTCCCTGAGGGGAACCCTGATCTATGTCAATTATGTGAACTCCACATGTGTGTATGTGTGTACCGATGTGTGCACACAAAGGCGTGAAAGTGAGTGTGTGGGGGAGTGGGTTAGGGTGGGGGGCATATATGTGCATGTGCACACATTCCAGGGTAAAGAACTCAAGAGGAAATGTGTTAGTAGCTCTCTTTTGGCAGGGGAAGGAGTGGGGGACAAAAATGTGTAGTAATCTGGGCATCGGAGTCTGTAGCACATAAACAAAATACATGGTCAAAAAATTCAAACTCAGTTTTTCTCAAAAGGAAAGATTTTTTTATCTCCAGATTTTAGTTGAAAAACTAAATTCGTAGACTCTTAAATTTCTTTACAACCCGAAGAGCTATGGCCACAAAACAAAGTTTCTTTTGTACAGGTGTTTAAGGAGGAACATGAAGCTCTAATGCTGTCTTGGGATAGTTAGCCTTCCCAACACTGGTTTAGATGGTGGGTGTCTCCAAGGTCCGCTAATGTTCTTTCCTTGTGAATTTCTTCTTTAGGTTTTCTTTTTGGACTGAAAGGAGGACCAGGAAGAGTGGGCTATCCAGGGCCTTCTGGGTTCCCTGGGGCTCGTGGACAGAAAGGGTGGAAAGGTAAGGAATGCTTGGAAAGGTAGAAGACACCTCGGCCTTTCTAACTCTCCCTCAACTTCCAGGAAGTTAAAGCTATTCCCCTTTTCACATTATTTTTAAATAAGATGGACCCTACATTTCTCTGCTAAGCTCCTTTCTCCCATGGCTATTAAACTAAAAATAGGATGCAGGAAATCAACTTGGTCATCTAAACACCCAACACCCAGTTTGCTCATCCTTTTACAGTTAAATTCTGTAATGGAATTTTCAAGACATGCAGAGGCCAATACTAGGCAAGAAAGATGAATAGTTGTTTCCTAGGCTGAAGTCAAATGATTCGTATGAAGTAATCAGTTTTGAGACAATATAACGGGTGTTTATACAGAGTCAATATATACTTTCCTTTATATTTTAGCCATCATCTTTCATCCTAACAATGACTCCCTGAGTTAGGTGTTTGGGTGGCGTGGGAACTGAGACAAAGAAACAAAGCAACTTGCCCAGCGTCTCTCTCCCAGTCAGTGGCATAAGCTAAATTAGAGTGATGCGGTCCTTGCATTTACTCTTCCTGCTATCCCTCTTAGACTCTACACCCACCGGAAGAGCGCTTCCTTGTCCAGAGCATATTCGATTCTGTGGTACTTCCTCTATGTGGTACCCTGTCTGCTACCCATGTGGCCCTTGCTGAGCACTCCCATCCCATAATGGTGAACATATTTTGGCACAGAATCACACACCTGTCTGATACATGTGTGCATTCAGTTCCCTGCTAGGAATGTAAGCAATTTAGGTATAGACATTCCCCTTTCTGAGCCACATAACTCGGTCCTATTCTGCCGTGATCTGTGCCCTGGAGTTGCTGGCCAATAGGAGAGTATCCCCTAAGATTCCTGAGTTCAGCCAATGACAGGATAGAGAAAGACCTGGAGATTTTTTCCATCATTTCTCACAGCCTTGGCTATTTAACTAAAAACCTTCCCAACACTGGTATACATGTAATAGCTCATGCCCCTAAGACTTTGGTTCCAATTTGTACTGGACTCCTGTAACTCTCTTTCCTTCCCTTGCCTCTTCTGGCTCAATGGTCTTAATGACTTCTTGCTGCTCACAGTCGCTGGATTCTTCAACATCCTTCGTTGGTCCCTAGATTCTTCCTATACCAGTATAAAAGAGATCTGTATTTTAAGTGTCTTTCAAGAAACATCTGAGTAGAATTCGGTTTCCTGAGGTAACCCTGACTGATCATTTGGAAAGCTTACTGTTATGACCCCATCTTATATTTCTGTTTGCTACAGCTCTAAGAGTGATTAATAAAAGCTTCATAAAGAGCAATTTTCCTGTTTTCCCTCCCATTGTAGGAGATGCTGGGGACTGCAAATGTGATGACCAGTTCATCCAGGGTCTTCCAGGATTGCCAGGCCCCAAGGGCTTTTCAGGTGTTAATGGAGAGCCAGGTCGGAAAGGGGAGCAAGGTGACCAGGGTCAGCACGGAATTCCTGGCTTCCCAGGGTTCAAGGTGAGAGAACATTGATCCGCTTATTGACCAATTTTATAGCAAAACCGCTAAGACTTCCTTGATGCTTATCTTGGTCTTTCATTTATTAAATTAACATGTTGTTGTTGTTAAGTGCCATCGAGTTGGACCCGACCCGTAGCGACCTTGGATAGGGTTTTTGAGGAGCGGCTGGTAAGCTTGAACCGCCAACCTTGCAGTTCAAACGGCTTTGCAGTCTGGCGCATTAACCCACAACGCCACACTAAGACTCCATTAAATTAACATAGGTTTGGAAATAAAACTCCTTCACCACCTACCCCATTCACAGAAACTGATGCACTCTCAGTCAAACTTTAAAATAATCATTTTTACTGGTGGGAATGTAAAATGGTACAGCCACTTTGAAAAACAGTTTGGCAGTTTCACAAAATGTTAAACACAGAGTTACTGTATTTCCCAGCAATTCCACTCCTAGGTATATACTTCAAATAATTAAACGCACACATTTATCCCAAAAATTGTCCGTAAATGTTCATAGCGGCGTGATTCACAGTAGCTAAAAAGTGGAAAAAACCTAAATGTCCATCAACTGATGATTGTTGATGTTGTTAAGTGCCGTCGAGTCAGTTCTGACTCATAGCAACCCCATATAGGGTTTCCAAGGAGCAGCTGGTTGAGTTTGAACCACCAACCTTGCAATTTAAACTGACCTTATAGTCCAGTGCATTACCCCACAGCACCACACCAGGACTCCTGATGAATAGATCATAAAAAATCTCTCCATACAATGGAATATTACCCAGCCACAAAAGGCATATAATACTGACACGTGCTACAATGTAAATGAACCTTAAACGTGTTCTACTAAGTGAAAGACGGCAGTACAAACGGCCACGTGTTGTATGATTCCATTTATGTGAAATAGTCATAATAGGAGGACCCACAGAGGCATAAAGGAGATGACTGATGGCCAGGGAAGTGGGGAGGATGGATGAGGGGAGACTTGAATACACAATGGATCCCTTATTCGGGTGATAAAACTGTTCTGGAATTAGGCAGTGGTGATAGTTATGAAACCTTGTGAATGTACTGAAAACAGGGAATTGCACACTTTAAAATGTAAACTAAAGTGGTAAATGTTTTGGTATGTGAAGTATATTTCAATCTTAAGCAACAAACAACAAACAAAACAATTCGCTTTTATGAATGTAAAGCACATGATTTATTTACTACTTCAAACTTAGTTTCCGACTGATTGTTTTTGGAAAGAGTCCCTAACTCCATAAAAAGCAGGACCTCAGAGTAGATCACAAATCAATGAAATTTCCTGTCCGTGGATACCCAGTGGCCTTTATTTCATGTCTGGGGTAGATTTTTCTCTTTTGTTGTTGTTAGGTCCCAATGAGTTGATACCAACTGGTAGTGACCTTATGCACAGCAGAACAAAACACTGCCAGATCCTGGGCCAAGCTCATTGATGCTGCCATTGTGCCAGTCCATCTCGCTGGGGGGATCTTCCTCTTTTTCTCTGACCCTCCACCTTACCAAACATAATATCTTTCTCCAGCAACTGGTCCCTCCTGACAATATGTCCAAAGTATGAAAGACGAAGTCTAGCCATCCTGGCTTCCAAGGAGCACTCTGGCTGTACTTAATCCAAGTGATTTCAAAGTAAATTTCAAATGTAGACATAGAAATTATGCTTTCTTTTTTTTTTTTATTAAGAAGAGAACTGCAAGAACATTATAAATTCTATCATTTTACACATTCAGCAACAGAGAAAACATGTTTTA